GAGATTCCAGGGGGTTCCTGAGACAAAAGGAGAGAATCTAAAACAAGTGCTAGCTGATCTAATCGCACCAGTTGCAGATTTGAAAACGGAATATCTTCAAAGCGAAATGGATGTGATCTACAGATCATATTCGGAATATATTAAGAAAAATAATCTGCCTGGAGAAATAGTGGTTAGATTCTCAAAAAGACATGTGAGGGATCAAATCTTGAAAGCAACAACAGGAACACCCCTGAAAATCAATGGAAATACCATCTGGATTCTAAAAGACATTCCATTTGAAATCAAAAAGAAGAGGAAGAAATTAAAAGACTTGGCTTTGTTTTTACAAATAAACAACATACAGTACAAATGGTTGATCCCCAAAGACCTACTCTTCAGAATAAATAATAAAAAAGAAAGAATTGACTCTGTTAAGAAAGCCAATGAGTTTTTGAAGCAGCAACTGGGAAGGTCCAGAGAAGACGACCAAGATAAAGAAAGCAGTGAAGACACTTCTTCAATTACTGAAGAGGACTCTGAGTCGGACATGGGGGCTCTGGCCCCCAAAAGAGACTATGATTTGAGGAAAAGAAATGCCAAGAAATGAGATGCTGAGGAACTCTGAATTCCACTTTCAAGAAGCTGTATCTTTTTTAAAAAATTGATGCTTTTGTGATTGTCTTAATCAGTAATTGTTATCAGGTTTTGGGGAATAGTGGCTAGATTTCAAGTTTATTGTAATATTAATCAGGGGTCTTGTTGTAGAAAAAGAGCTGCCGGAGCTCATTAGCATAACTCATTAGCATAACTTATTTGCATATGTCACGCCCCCTGACATCACCGGAAGTGACAGAAGGCCACACCCCCTGACATCACCGGAAGTGTGTCAGAAGGCCCGGCTACTTACCCTCCTGCTTCATCCTCATTCCCAAACGGAATGAGGATCGAAGCAGAGGGCGGGGTAAAGAAGGGGGCGGGGCTTCACCACGTGACCGCCCCGCCCCCTAGAGGTTCTCTTCCGGAGCTCCGTACCTGAGAGCTCCCCCCCGACTAGAGCCCTGATATTAATAGAATAGATTAATATTGTATAAGCTTATGTAATGATCTTCACTACTTGGGTTTTTAGTGGTTAACTTTCCTTTCTCCTGTAGATATTAGATTCCCTATCCCAATTTTCTTTGTAGTTTATAGAATTACAATTTAAAAAATCCCCTTCAGGGGGCCAAAAAAAAAAGTAATGAAAGGTATATAAAGTATAATGAAGGGGGAGAAAGGAGAATAAGTGTTGAATATAAATGTATAAGGAATTGGATTTTGAACAAAGTGTCTTTTATTTTTCATTGTGAATATACCAGATTTTCCTTTAAATTTTGGTATATTAAAAAGTATAGTTAGTGCGTAGTAACTGAAATATGTAATACAGAATATATATTAATGATGACATTAATTGATAATTAACAATACAATTAGTTATATAGTTGTTAATTAGATCAGTTATGAAATTTGAAATCCAAATTGTTTGAAGAAAGAATTATGGTATGTTGTGGAAAATGTATTTAAAATTTTAATGAAAGGGATGTTGGGGAGAAATGTTTCTCTGTTCCATATATCTTGTAAGCATAGTAATTTGTAATAAATATGATTTGTTATTTAATTCAATATAGCCCCCATTATTTCTGTTTGTACCCCCCTTACGTTATTATCCTGTTTTTTTTTTAAATAAAAAATATACATTTTTTTAAACATCAACAGATACTGTGAGTTGGAAGGCTGGGTAGAAAAAATGGAAACAGAAGAAGGTAGGGTGGCAAAAGAGGCGATGAGGGCCTAGAAAGAGGAAAGAAATTGGGGGCAACATGGATATGGGATTTTCATCCCCCTAGAGCAGTGGTGGCGAACCTATGGCACAGGTGCCAAAGGTGGCACTCAGAGCCCTCTCTGTGGGAACACATGCCATCGCCCCAGCCAGGCCCAGACCATCATTAAAGTGTCGAATTCTCTGCCAAATAATTTTAAGTAAATGAAAGCATTTGGGATTGCTTTCCTTACCTTGTTTGGATCATCTTAAGTTAATGTATGAGTTGTTTTTTCTAAAGTAAAACCTCAGTATTCAGGTTAAATTGCCGTGTTGGCACTTTGCGATAAATAAGTGGGGTTTGGGACGCAGTTTGGGCACTCGGTCTCTAAAAGGTTCGCCATCACTGCCCTAGAGTGTTCACAGTTTTCCCCATATCTTAGAACTAAATACAGTAATTTTTATACAAACACATTTTGCTTCCATTTTATTTAGCACGGCTCTAGTGCATAATAAAAAATTTAATTTGACCTGAATTTTAGCTGTTGGGTCACAGAATGGATTATTTTACTGTAGATCACCAACAGAGTTGTCTTCGATTCAGAATTACAGACTCTATACAGATGTATTGGGACTTCTTCTACCTCTTATCATTGTGGGATATTAATTCTGGGGAAACTATCATTTGATATGCAGCTCTAACAGAAAGCCAAACTGTATTTTCAAGTGTTTTATACTTAATATTTCAATGGCAATCCCAATGCTTCTGCTATACAGTGGAGAATCTCTCCAGTTTCTACAGATGGGAACAGTTTCTATGGCTGGGATCAACATCCAGTAGCGACCCCAACTTGCTTTTATTTTCACATGCAAATTTATCTTGAAAAAATATAATCATTTTAGAATTGTAGTCTCCATTGTTTTAGTTAAGCTCTTCAAAGGTTTCCTATGAAATACAGGGGGGGATTTATTCATCATATCTATTCATTTTTTCCAAATATCTAAATTTTAACAAAATAGCATGATGCATAATTATTAACATTTCCATTGCAAACATACAGATTTATACAAGCTCTTGTCAACAGACATCCAAATTTACTATAATGACAGTTTATTTACACTAAAAAAATGAAATCAGTATGTAAATGTAATGTTTGTTGTAGCTAATGGAGCAGGCGACAGATTAGTCTCAAACAGCAATCAGTCAGAAGATCTTGCTAGTATGAAAAATGAGACAGGCTTCTGTTTGTTTGCTTTAATCTCACATCTTTAAACTTTGAGATTTTTAAACTGTCTCATTAAAAAGTATGGAATAAAATACTCTAAATCTTACTGTCAGTGAGATTTTTCTAGTAAATATCTGCTGTTCCAATACCTAGATATCACATTGGCAAAACCTCTACACTTGAGATGAAAAGTTTAAGAAAGCCGATATGCCTGTTGATATAGTGAATCATGACAGTGGCTGCTATATAAAGATTTAATAAGCATGGTTTCCAACTAATATTCTCCTTGAAGTTGACTTTGTAACTCTGAAGAAGACTCAATGAAACACGCTTAAAACCCGATGCACGTTGGTTGCTCTTGTGAATATTGTACTGCATTCCTGGTTTACAGAGAACATTTCTCTTTGCATGAACATATATTGCCCATATTTAATGCTTTAGGTTCTGAACGCCAAATGAGGTCATACTTCCTGGAGGACAGTTTATTGAATTAATTTATAGTGAACTTTTCTCACTGAGACTCAAGGTGGATGACAACTAAAAGCAATGCTGTGTTTCTCTATTAGTACATTCAGACATAATGAGAGACCACAGTTCAAACTGTATTTCATTACAAACTAGGATGTCTGCAGTCTCCAATAGTTTGTTATGTCTGAATAGAATCTATGGTGACATATGATACCTGTTCATAGGTATTAGAAAAACTCAGCTCTTGGAAACAAGCTATTTAATTTAAATAATCTGACAGGGTATCAACTGAATCCAAAATAATTCCCTAGCTGAGGGAAAAGAAAGAACATAAGAACATAAGAGATGCCAATGTTGGATCAGGCCAAAGGCTCATCCAGTCCAACACTCTGTATCACACAGTGGCCAGAAATACCAGTGCCATCAGGAGGTCCACCAGTGGGGCCAGGACATTAGAAGCCCTCCCACTGTTGACCCCCCCAAGCACCAAGAAAACAGAGCATCACTTGCCCCAGAGTCCCTATCTATACCTTGTGGCTAATAGCCACTGATGGACCTCTGCTCCATATGCTTATCTAATTCCCTTTTGAAGCCGTTCATGCTTGTAGCCACCACCACTTCCTGTGGCAGTGAATTCCAAGTGTTAATCACTCTTTGGGTGAAGAAGTACTTCCTTTTATCCGTTCTAACCCGACCGCTCAGCAATTTCATGGAGTGCCCACAAGTTCTTGTATTGTGAGACTCTGCAGAGCACAGCTACAGCACCGCCAAATGACACAGACAATCAAAAAACATAAGTAAAGGAAGAAAGGAGGAGTGCAGATAGGAAAGTGGGAAAATGGAAATCATGGGACTGTAAAGGACAGCTGAGTGGAGGTAGGTTAGGTGAGTGGCTGGTTAAGCAAGGGGACTGAAAGGGATGGAGGGGGGAGTGAGTTGGAAGCAGTGGGAGGCTGCAATACCCCACCAGCTAGGTGATCAGCATTGGCCTGTACATTTTCAGCCCCAAGTCACCAGTGATCACCTGGTCACCAGCCCTGTACAATGTGGAGTGAGGGCCTGCCAGAGGAGAGGAGAACAAAATCTCCCCTCTACCACGTCTGGTAGATAGTTGTATACAGGATGCCAAGAGGAAGAGTTTAAAAGTTAATTAAATAATAGTCTTCTAAGAGTTTAAACGTTAATTAAATAATAGTCTTCTAAGAATACAAGTAGAAAAGTTATTTGATTTATATCCCACCCTCCCCGCCGATGCAGGCTCAGGGTGGCTTACAAGCCCACGGGCATCATAAAACATTAAAACAGTAAAACAAATTAAAAGCATAAAATAATTTATAAGGTGCTACATTTATATGATGGCAGAATAACTGTCCTAAATGGTTATTATACAAAGACACTAGGCCTAAGGAAAAAAGAGAGAAAAATGTATTTAAAAGTACCTAAAGAAGAGAAAAGATGTATGATTTAGTAGTTACCCTGCTTAGAAATATGCTATTATGCTCACATGTATATTGCATAAAGATTCTTACCCAGACAATGTTGATGAAGATGGTGGTGGCAAATCAGGTGTTAGAACATATAGGCTGTTGTTCTTTGGCAAGTGTAGAGTTTTTAGAACAGTCTGTCAAGAGAAAAACATATACTTGGAATTTACAAACATCTCCATGATGGATTCTGTTATGAAACTAGTTTGGTTTATTACAATTAAATATGGAGTAATATACTTAATAACATATCATATACTGAAAAATTTCTTCTATTGTTCCAATAAAGTATATTATTTAAACTCTGAAGCAAAAAAAAAAAAAAAAGGCAGCAGTAGCCCTCTGGAAGCCGCCCTGAGCCCGCTTGCGGGGAGGGCGGGGTAAAAATGCTTAAATAAATAAAAAAATAAAATAAAAAAACACACAGGTAACAATAATACAAAATACTGCTCTAAACTGGGAAGCTCAGAGCTCAGCCACATGCTTGCGCAATGCCAGTGATAAACCATCTAGTAGAAGGGAGGGAGGCTACAGAGAAAAGAGCAAAGAAATCACAAACAAATCTGAAGTCAAAGCACGCTAAATAAATGCAACGATAATTATGTGGAAAGCAAAGTCTATAATAATGCCAAACTCATATATATTATTGTAGAATCACAAACATAATAAGGAATAATTATCCAAAAGTGGGTGGTGACAGACTCAAACTCACAATAAGCATTTCTCAAAAATAGCAGACTTCCTTCATAAATAGAAAAAGCTCACAGATAATTTTTTTTGTTTATATTAATATCACACGTCCTTGAACTAAAGTCCAAACATCTATATACTGTAGCTTGTAGTAAATGAGGTCCGTTCCAAGTGGAAACAAACAATAATCAGCGTTTCAGATCTATTCCTTCATCAGGTAAGCCTTCATTAACATACAATGAATACACATGTATAAGCAAGGTCCCAATCAAAATCTTCCAATTAGGCACAGCTCCATATCGGGACCTTGCTTATACATCTGTATTCAAAATACACTTTTGGATAATTCAGTATAAGGCAGCTTCATGCGTTTATGTGTTCTCTTATACTGAATTAATAATAATACCAATTGGATTGCACATTTGTATTATTTTTACATTATGTATCTACAGTCATGTTTTATGGATATTGATTGCATGTCAACTGTAAGAACAGATGCACCATCACCACCCAGGTTTCAAATGTTGCCTCCATATCACCAGAACATGGTATACAAGATTCTGCAGTGAATACAAGAACTTACACTGTCATCTACATCTCCAGTTTTCCAGCCCTTGAGCAGCATTTTTGATGCAGGAATTTGAAGCTCATTTTCTAAAATGTGTTTGATTTCTCCTGCAAACAAAAACATATTATCAGTGTTAATATTCCTCTGCAATCTTTTTTACAAGCTGATGGCCATAATTACCTCAGCAGCAAAACAAAATATTTGGTCTTGGAGGACCAGACATTTACTACTCTTGCTGTATTTTAGACATCTCTTCAACATTAGTACTTTTAAATACTTTAGTCAAGACACAAAACTTGAAGCAAAACTCATCTTCTATACATTAAACACTAATATACTGGGGCGGTTGAATATTAATTTCACTCAGTGGAAGAAAAGGTAAAAATCTCAAATGAGACAAATGGTGACCCATCTCTTTTTTTAAAAAAAGGACTGTTTTTTCCAAACTCTTGTAAAGTCAATGCAGTGGCTTGTATCCAAGGCTATTTTTGTGTGCCTCCACCTTCCCGCTGCAACCCCTGTATCACATCCTACTCCATTCCTGAGAGTGCCCCAACCTCAAGAACAATTTTCTGAAGGGCAAAGAAGGGAGGAAGGAAAGGCTTTGGATGCAAGCCAACAAACTCAAAACAACACACAACAAACTAAAGGGTTTTGTTTCAATTGTGAGATACGGATAATACTTGGATGCAAATATTAATTATTAATCTAAATGACCTAGGAATGTGTTTTTGTTTCCCAACCAGTATATCTGCTCTGACCAACAGCTGTCAGGGACAATTCTGGTATTTATAAAGCAAGGTGGTTAAAAAATAGGCCCCAGAAAAATTCATAGGAATTCTACATTCAGGTACTATATTATTAGGATAGCAAGAGGCTACCTCAGACCACCCTGTTTAGACCAGTGCTGCCTGCCATTTGAGAACTGTTGCACCAGAAAATGCTCTTTCCAGACTCTTGATGGGAATTTGGAAACTTTCGTTGGTTGCCAACATGGTGTAATATTAGAGTGTTATTGGAAGATCAGAGGCCCAGGGCCCAGGTTAAAATCCACACTTTGCCATCAAAGTTTGCTAGGTGACCTTAGGGTCAGTCACCCTCTCTCCGCCTAACCTCTCACATGGGGCAGCTAAGGACAATGATATTGTCACTTTGGATCCTCATTGGGGAGAAAAATGGAGTATACATATCTAGGCTTGCCAAGACCCCCCAGGGGGCGGGGAAACCCCCGCCCCAGAGGCCCGTTCCCCGCCGCCGGCGGATCGGGCCCCGGGGGAGCCCCACCCCGACATGCGCGTCACCCGGAAGTGACGCGACCACGCCGGGGGCAGGGCCACAGTTATCCGAGGGAAAACTCCATGGTTTTCCCTCGGATGGCCGTGGCCCCGCCCCCAGCGTGCCCGGCGGCATCACGTCACTTCCGGATGGCGTGCGTGCGATGCATACGCTCCAGCAGCAAGCCGGGAGTCCCCCACTGCGGCGCAACGTCAGACTTGGCAACCCTGTATATCTAAATAAATAAATAAATAGGTACAAAAGGCCACAGCCAGGCTCTTGTATGATATTAATTAGTAATCCTTACTCAACTGCACTGGCTAACCATGTTTCTAGGCCAAATTCAAGGTTCTGTCTTCAATTTTTAAAGCCTGGCTGCATCTTTAGCTTCCTGAAAAGGGGTAAAAACTTTTTTCCCATTTAAGCTTACTGGCCAGTTATTTTGCCACTATTTTGTATAATACAACACATTTTTAAAAAATTATTTTTGTTTTATCTTTGTTGCTGTTACCCACTTTGAAGCCTGGAGAAAAAGGCCTACAAATTTTCATACAAAAAAAAAAAAATCTAAGCTCAGGATGGTAGAACTGAATAGAGCACCTCACCTGTGCAAGCCCCAATTTCCTTCACCAAGCTCTGCCCCCTCTGTATCACTGATCAGTCAATTTCTCATTATTTCTTGCTATTGCAGTTAACAAGGCTCAACATTTTCTCATCTTGCAAAATTCCTTGGAAACTGTCAGCTGCTTAAGGCTTAACTTTCTCTTTTACCTTTCTATTTCTTCTATGGTCCAAAATCTTTCCTTTAAATCCAAGCATCCCCAGACAGGGTTATTTTGTTTTTCAAGCAAGCCACTCATTGTGCAATTCTATCCATGAGACAAAATTTTGTCCAAACAGCAAATGTATCATGATTAAATCCTGAATATTTATTGCTCTTGTGGCATTATGGAGATGTCCTGCAAGATCCTGATGAAAATTAAAACTACATCTTTATTCATTGGAGGTGTCTCATAGCTCCACCTCGTGGACGTTCGCTACAATAGCAATGAAAACTGAAAATCTTACAAACAAAACTTGAAGCAGTTAACCACCTCTGATAGTCACTTTTTAAAAGGTATATACTTAAAGGTAAACTGTGAAGGTGTCAAATATATATTTGCAAACATGTATGTCCGACAGGCATGCTTATAAAGAAGCTAGAAGTAGCCAGAATGTATTCTTGAATGTATTATTGGTTGCAAGGATGGTGCGATTGAGTCACAGATGGGAGGGGTCCAGAATGCTGTTAAGTGCAACAATGTAAACAAAGATTTTAATAATCATTGCTGTAAATTCACTTAAACGTTTTTAAAATTTTGTTCTTTACTATAGTAGCTCATTATGGATGAATCTGAAGTAGGTGCTTTCACCCAAAATCCTGAAGATTAGTTTTCCTGGTTCCAAACAGTCTGTTCAAAATGTCTCTGTGTCAGGAATTTTCCTCTTTTATCCCCAGTGACACACATCACTTTTTTAATAGTGAGTCACCCTGATAACCCAATTTTTTTAGGGGTGGGGAGAAAGATAGCACACAGCCAGGAATCTCCAGGTACAATAAAATTCAATATGTGAACAAATATCCTCCAAGGTTCAGCTATCAAACTGGCTACTATAAACATGTCCTAAAATTAATAAGAATGGGTTGGATCCCACCTAAAACTTCCATGCATGCAAGGGGAGCTATTTTCACCAGTTAACCCCTCCTGCAGCACTGTCTCCTCTCAATGCTATTCCTGAGGCACCACATCTCACAAAAGCAGCATTTCTGATTTCAGTAATTGATTTTAATGGTTTTAAAATGTTATTTTATCACGTGTGTTTTAATTTGTTAGCCACCTTTGTGGCCCTTGTGAGGGCAGAAAGGCAACATGCATATCTTGGAAATACATAGATTTCAGGAGACATTTTTACCTGCAGAGGGAAGGAGATGGGAAATCACTTTTCTGCAGATGGAAATTGTTCCATCTGTGAAATTTTAGGGAGATCTAAGCCATTGTGTAAATATGTACAATTACAATACAGTCCTGAATACTATGGGCAATATATAATAACAAAACAATGGTCTTTTTCAGACAATGTCCCCCTTACCTTCACCTCACTGAAACATTGGGATTATCATCACTGTTAGTAACAACATCTGAATGCAAACAGTCCAAAAACACCCATTTAGTTGGTTTTTAACCACAGTTTGCACGAATCATGCCATCCAAATTCACATACTACTTTGCTGATAAGCAGTGCCTCTTGCAGCAACCTGAATACTGATAATGCAGAACAGGCAAGACGTGCTACCAGCTGAGAGGTGGAGAATCGGCAAACCAGTTTTTTACTTACTTCTGGTAAACTAAAACATACTATACAGAAGCCATGGATTACCATGTTGTCTGAATGCAGCAAGCAGAGGAGCAAGATCATGTCTTCTAGATGCATTCATCCAATACATTTATTTAAAATAGTTATATATCTGCTTTTTTCCAGGACATCCCAGGATATATTCCATCTTTCTCCTGTGCATCCCATCTGCCCCATCTCCAACACCACTGGTAGGGCTGCCAGTTTCCAGATGGTGGCTGGAGATAATTACAACTGGTATCCAGGTAAAAGAGATCAGTTCCCCTGGAGAAAATGGCTACTCTGGAAGGTGGACTCTATGATATTATACTCCACTGAGGTCTCTCCCCTCCCCAGGCTCCACTCCCAGAATCTCCAGGAATTTTACCACCCAGAGCTGGCAACCATAGCCACTGGACATCTGGCTATGGGAGTAACATTTGAATAGCCTGCAGATGCACAAAATCTAGGATCAAATCATGTGGAAGGTTCTCCCCCCGAGATCTTGAATCAGAATATACAAACTAGGCCCTCGATTGTTAATTTGTGTACCATATTCAAATATTATAATCATGAAGCAGAGAACAGAAAAAATGATGTCACTCATGTATAAGGAAAAGGTGAGGGAAAGTATCACCTGAACTGGGCTAATGAAAATTCAGAAGGTACTAATGAATTTAATGATGCAAGCAATCATGGTTACTTACAACTCTGAACAAATTTAAGGGTCTAAAGACCTTCCTTACAGTTTCTCCATGGTATCTGAAATCAGTCCGCTTCTGCATCCAAATATAAAGAAAGACTACTATGCTTTGCCAACCGCCTTTTGCTTCTTTTGTATTCACAAATCCAGATTACCTTTAACCAACAAAATCTATTCTTCTGGTTCCTCTGGACTAAAAATGTCTGTCAGAACATTACATGCTTTATTTATGTTATGAAAACTGTTTTAAGATTTTCCTGGGATATATCTAAGCTTCTAAAGTAATGGAATCATAGCTGGTTCCAATGATGATGATATAGATTGCACATCATTTTGTCAAACACAACTGTGCAAGTCTGATGTAGAATTATAATGAGCAAGCAGAGCTAACAAATATATTAGTAGTATTCTCCCAAACTGCAAGCAACTAATTGAGGCATAGCACAGTAGAAAAGCAAGTGTATGGGGGGGGGGGAGATCAACAAATACATGCTCTGCAAATAAATTATGTGTACCACTAGGTGTCACTCTCTGATAAGCTATTACATATTAAAACATGGTAAGAAACAACTGTTACACCTTCACAGATGTGGGACAAAAGTTGACTATACTTTTTCCTATTATTTCTTAATTGGATATGTATTTTTAAAGGGAATATGTTTGTAAGCCATTGAAGCTTTCCTGCATTTGGTCTACAGATACATGCACTCAGTTACATAAAGCTCCCCTCCCCAACCTGTTCCACAGGCTGTCATA